TCACAACGTTATCCCTCCTTGACGTAATCTTGCTAACCAATTCCTTTCACTTACTTCGTTAACACTTCGTTACCCTAACACTGTTGTGAGATCTTAGGATTCGTTAGAAAGCGAAAAAGACAAACACGTTTATACTTCAAACGGGAAGAAGACTCGAGATGCGAGTATATTCTCCTCCTCGCTCTCGCGATTTCGCATTTTACGCGACGCGAGTTGAGATATTCATGGAATATTCAAATTTTACCGAGTTTCAAATCTGTTGTATATAAATTCTATATTACGACTTGCTAAAGAAAATAAGAAAGTGATAGAGGTGTATGGAATCATTATCATTTTGCGTACACGCGCGCGTGCGAGTGTGTGTGTGTGTGTGTATGTGTGTGTGTGTGTGTTGTGTGTGTGTGTGTGTGTGTGTGTGTGTGTGTGTGTGTGTGTGTGTGTGTGTGTGAGTGGACAGAGGGAGAGAGGATGCAGGGTGTGAATTTAAAAATTCGAAAACTGCCATGAACAACAGGATTCCCTAAAATGGCTACAGAAATAGTCAAAGAAGTTGCTGTTGGAGATCGACCCTCGACTAATAAAGGCAAAGCCGCAGTTGTTTATCGGGACAACGTTTCGCTCTCCCCAGACATTTGTTCTGTTATCGTCATGTTAATCGGCAATACGGAATATGACCCATACAAAACATACGAGAAGCAATAAGAATAACCGATGAAATACGGACACAGGACTGAACTTCCCACACGGGGAAAAGACCAACTGACAGAACCTAAAATTTAAAAAGATCTCGGAGTAAACATGACGGAAAAACTCTCATCAACAGTCAATTTACACTACATATGTCCGATTTAAGAATTCATCCTCCTTAAGCCATGCGTGTCGTATGAGGCGACTAAAATGCCGGGAGCAAGGGCTTGTAACCCCTTCTCCCGTATAAATTACTAAATTTAAGAAGACATATTTTCGTTTTTGTTTTTACGTCACCCTGCCTCGGTGGGATATGGCCAGTTCGTTGAAAAAAAATAACGTCCAACTAATCGTCAAGATCGCAGCAGCAACATGAATCCCTTACGTAAACACAGGGAGAATAGAAATGGTACAATAGTTTTATCGAGGTTGGCAGTGGATAAACAAAAGAACAGCTACGAAGCGATGGGAAACCGCAGCTCAAGATGCTAAAAGAGTAGAGAAAACGAGGAGACATGATCAGGACATATTCAATACTCAGAGAAACAAGGTAAACATAAAAACATAATAATTGAGGAATACTGCAGAAGGCCTATTGGCCCATGCTAGGCAGGTCCTTACAGGTCCATACAAGGCAGGTCCTTTATAAGGTTGATCAGAGAAATTTCTCAACAAGAGAGAGAGAGAGAGGAGAGGAGAGAGGAGAGTATGAAGAGCAAGAGAGAGGAGAGAGTGATAGAGAAGAAGAGAGAGAGAGAGAGAGAGAGAGAGAGAGAGAGAGAGAGAGAGAGAACAGAAGATCAATGGGACACAGACAGCCAACGAAAAATGAAGTGACTCGTAGAAAAACTAAAAACCACATCTACAGTGTCAGAGAAATAAGTAGAGTAATCAAACTAAACAAAAAATAAAGTTAGACAACGCAGCAGTTCCAATATGGAAAAAAAAAACATGATATGATATATCAGGATCATATTAACCAAAGTAACAGAATTAAATGGGTTCGGGAGATGAGCCAAGTACCTCGAAATGTAATCAGATAAGTTCAATTAGATAATTACAACGCCCACACACACACACACACACACACACACACACACACACACAACACACACACACACACACACAACACACACACAAAGACTGAGGATAAACGTAAAAAAAGTATATCAAAGAATGTATTCCGGAACACAAGAACTACAAAGATGGTATAAAAGGTACGGAAAGGCTCTCGTAGGAAGACATGGTAAACAAAAATGACCACTTACTCATCTTTTAAAAAAGGTCCATGAAAGAACCAAGGAAGAAAAAACACGTTGTTTATGGAAAAAGCAGCAAACACAAGAAAATGTTACAATGTTACACTGACTATAAAGTATATTGGTACTTCAGAGATTTTTCTAGCCGAGTTGACCTTTGTATAAACAACGTTTCGTTCAGCTCTGAGTGAAAGTTTCTGCAAATAAGGATTTGTTTTTTTTTATAAAGGTCCTTATCGTGCCATACTTGCCGACGTTCTTTTTTTTTTTTTTTTTTTTTTTTGCTTTTCGAACTAACGAAATCATGAAATAGAGAAACATTTACAAATAGTTAACTTCAAAGATAACTGAACACGCTTCGAAAAGGGTTTCAGAGAGAGGGTTCACAACTGACCCGCTTTACGGCGGTGGAATACTCTAGACGAAGGGAAGGTGGTGGCAGTCTTCAAACACAGCTTTAGGCATAGGAATGATAGAGCCTATAAGGCTAGGAGAGAGAGTGAACCTGGCAAGGAGAAACTGGAACAGCCGGGAGTTGAATCTCGATTCATACAAACACAGAATCCAGCTATGATCCGATGTCATAAGATGAGCAACAGATGCTGTATTTCTCTCCCTCATCCTTCCTCTAATCTCTCTTCTCTTCCCCTCCCTCCTCTGTTACTTTCCCACTCTTTTTCCCCTTTTCCCGTTCCCCCTCCCTCCCTCCCTCTCCCCCTTCTTCGCCAACAGCCCCTCCCTCCTTCTTTCTTCGGTTATCGATATTCAGCGAATATTCTCCGCATCCATCTGTGCATATAAATTTATTTATGTATGTTGCAGCTGGCGTGTGTATGTGTGTTTGTGTGTGTGTGTGTGTGTGTGTGTGTGTGTGTGTGTGTGTGTGTGTGTGTGAGGGGTTGTGTGTGTGTGTGTGTGTGTGTCTGTGTGCATGTGTGTGTGTGTACTCACCTATTTGTACTCACCTATTTGTGGTTGCAGGGGTCGAGTCACAGCTCCTGGCACCGCCTCTTCACTGATTGCTACTAGGTCCTCTCTCTCCCTGCCCCATGAGCTCTATCATACCTCGCCTTAAAACTATGTATGGTTCCTGCCTCCACTACATCCATTTCTAGGCTATTCCATGGCCTGACTACTCTATGACTGAAGAAATACTTCCTAACATCCCTTTGATTCATCTGAGTCTTCAACTTCCAATTGTGACCTCTTGTGTCTGTGTCCCATCTCTGGAACATCCCGTCTTTGTCCACCTTGTCTATTCCGCGCAGTATTTTATATGTCGTTATCATGTCTCCCCTGACCCTCCTGTCCTCCAGTGTCGTCAGGTCGATTTTCCTTAACCTCTCCTCGTAGGACATACCCCTTAGCTCTGGGACTAGTCTTGTTGCAAACCTTTGCACTTTCTCTAGTTTCTTTACGTGCTTGGCAAGGTGTGGGTTCCAAACTGGTGCCGCATACTCCAATATGGGCCTAACGTACACGGTGTACAGGGTCCTGAACGATTAGGATGTCGGAATGCTGTTCTGAGGTTTGCTAGGCGCCCATATGCTGCAGCAGTTATTTGGTTGATGTGCGCTTCAGGATATGCGCCTGGTGTTATACTCATCCCAAGGTCTTTATCCTTGAGTGAGGTTTGTAGTCTCTGGCCCCCTAGACTGTGCTCCATCTGCGGTCTTCTTTGCCCTTCCCCAATCTTCATGACTTTGCATTTGGTGGGGTTGAACTCCAGGAGCCAATTGCTGGACCAGGTCTGCAGCCTGTCCAGATCCCATTGTAGTTCTGCCTGGTCTTCAATTGAATGAATTCTTCTCATCAACTTTACGTCATCTGCAAAAAGGGACACTTCGGAGTCTATTCCTTCCGTCATGTCGTTCACAAATACCAGAAACAGCACTGGTCCTAGGACTGACCCCTGTGGGACCCCGCTGGTCACAGGTGCCCACTCTGACACCTCGCCACGTACCATGACTCGTTGCTGTCTTCCTGACAAGTATTCCCTGATTCATTGTAGTGCCTTCCCTGTTATCCCTGCTTGGTGTGTGTGTGTGTGTGTGTGTGTGTGTGTGTGTGTGTGTGTGTGTGTGTGTGTGTGTGTGTGTGTGTGTGTGTGTGTGAATATATGCTCGTGTTTTTCTGCATTTAACTTGTAATGTTATATGTTAAGCATTACGGTAGTTGTAGCACCTGTCTGACACACTTTGATATCTAAAAGTCTGTCAGCATTTTTGAACAAATGATTTATACTACATTACTGTTATCTCTTATTTTCAAATGTACATTTATGACCGTGGCTTTGCTCTCACAATGTTCAAACTCACTAGACGCATACCCACTCCTCCACCTCACTCTCACACGTCCTTTATTCCACACACACACACACACTCACTCCACCAGCCCGCATTCCTCAACCCACTTCTATACTCCACTAAATCAAACTCATTTCTACACTCCTCATACTCATTAACTTCTACACCTCACTCCTACTCTTCAAAGCATCTCCTGCACACTTCTGCAACTAAATTCCTCACCACTCCCACCCAGTGATATTGAAAACGCTCTATGCAGGCACACAGTATACTTGCCGAAGCAAGTTGACTGACTTAACGTGAGTTTGCATACGCTTACAATTGAGTGTAGACGACGAAGTTGCCTCGGTAGGCAGTTTGATGAGGTAGAACGAGAGTAATACACTTACTGTGGTAGGCAAAATAGGTTCTTGGGAAGCTTAACTTAAGTGTTGAAATGCAATAGCATGTCTTAGCTAGTTAGGGAGCGTTGCTTGTGGATGGAGAGAGAGAGAGAGAGAGAGAGAGAGAGAGAGAGGGAGAGAGAGAGAGAGAGAGAGAGAGAGAGAGAGAGAGAGAGAGAGAATGGTGAGAAAGAAGCTGACGTCGGTTGCAAAAAATAGACGTGGATATAGGCTCTTTTCTTATATTCGTTGCGAAAAGGCAGGCACACGTGTTGTGCCGTGAACTCCAGCAATAGCAGCATCAGTAACACAAGCAGCAGCAGCAGCAGCAACACCAGCACTAAAGTGACGCACTGAGTGTAAACTCACCTTGGGTGTAGACTGTAAACTTGCATGGGGAAGCCTGCGCTCCCACAGCATTCTGCGCCCAGCACCACACTTCCACACTCTCCTCCTCTAGACGACTCAGTGTGTAGTGTCCAGTGAGACCCTCTTCCCGACCCACACTGTGAAGTCGTACTGGAGGAGTCTCTGCCATAGACAAGACTCAGACTATTAAACTCATGGCGAGGCACTAAACTCGAGGGGTTAATATACCTTCGGTATGTGATAGGAGAATCCTTATAATAATAATAATAATAATAATAATGTCTTGAAGGGTGAACGGAAAACCGAACATGATTGGCGACTCCTTCCATGAAGGATCGGGAGAGTAACCTGATTTCATATTTAACGAAAAAAAAGCCTTGATTTTTCTCCAAAAAAAAAAATCACATTTCTTATATATATTTTAAATTTCAAGAATTTTTGTTATTAAATGTAAGATATGGATTAGAATTCACATTAAAGTGGGAGTAAATAAATTTTACTGATAACGATAATGATTGCATTTCATATCAGAGATGCATTGGTATGTCTTACCAATGGAATGAGAATGGTGAACAATGTTTCACTGGGAAACCCACAACAATCAAGGGACAGAAAAAGATCAAAGGTTGTCTGTTCTTTGCAAAAGTGAAAGACCTGAAAGGTTTCTCCGTACATGTCTGGCAACAATGAAGGACATGGAAGGTTGCTTTACATGTCTGGCAATATTTCAATTGCTTTTAAAGAGGATATGTACGCAGAGGAGAATGTCTGTTTCCAGACGTCAGTTCAACGCATTTAAAAAATGTAAAAAAAAAATGTGCTAAACTGTTGAATCTACGGTGCAGTGTTGTTAAACAGTGGAATCTACGGTGCAGTGTTGTTAAACAGTGGAATCTACGGTGCAGTGTTGTTAAACAGTGGAATCTACGGTGCAGTGTTGTTAAACAGTGGAATCTACGGTGCAGTGTTGTTAAACAGTGGAATCTACGGTGCAGTGTTGTTAAACAGTGGAATCTACGGTGCAGTGTTGTTAAACAGTGGAATCTACGGTGCAGTGTTGTTAAAATGTTGAATCTATGGTGCAGTGTTGTTAAATTGTTGAATCTATGGTGCAGTGTTGTTAAACAGTGGAATCTACGGTGAAGTGTTGTTAAATTGTTGAATCTATGGTGCAGTGTTGTTAAACAGTGGAATCTACGGTGCAGTGTTGTTAAAATGTTGAATCTATGGTGCAGTGTTGTTAAATTGTTGAATCTACGGTGCAGTGTTGTTAAATTGTTGAATCTACGGTGCAGTGTTGTTAAATTGTTGAATCTATGGTGCAGTGTTGTTAAATTGTTGAATCTACGGTGCAGTGTTGTTAAATTGTTGAATCTACGGTGCAGTGTTGTTAAATTGTTGAATCTATGGTGCAGTGTTGTTAAATTGTTGAATCTATGGTGCAGTGTTGTTAAATTGTTGAATCTACGGTGCAGTGTTGTTAAATTGTTGAATCTACGGTGCAGTGTTGTTAAATTGTTGAATCTATGGTGCAGTGTTTGTTAAATTGTTGAATCTATGGTGCAGTGTTGTTAAATTGTTGAATCTATGGTGCAGTGTTGTTAAACAGTGGAATCTACGGTGCAGTGTTGTTAAATTGTTGAATCTACGGTGCAGTGTTGTTAAATTGTTGAATCTATGGTGCAGTGTTGTTAAATTGTTGAATCTATGGTGCAGTGTTGTTAAACAGTGGAATCTACGGTGCAGTGTTGTTAAAATGTTGAATCTATGGTGCAGTGTTGTTAAATTGTTGAATCTACGGTGCAGTGTTGTTTAAATTGTTGAATCTACGGTGCAGTGTTGTTAAATTGTTGAATCTATGGTGCAGTGTTGTTAAATTGTTGAATCTACGGTGCAGTGTTGTTAAATTGTTGAATCTACGGTGCAGTGTTGTTAAATTGTTGAATCTATGGTGCAGTGTTGTTAAATTGTTGAATCTATGGTGCAGTGTTGTTAAATTGTTGAATCTACGGTGCAGTGTTGTTAAATTGTTGAATCTACGGTGCAGTGTTGTTAAATTGTTGAATCTATGGTGCAGTGTTGTTAAATTGTTGAATCTATGGTGCAGTGTTGTTAAATTGTTGAATCTATGGTGCAGTGTTGTTAAACAGTGGAATCTACGGTGCAGTGTTGTTAAATTGTTGAATCTACGGTGCAGTGTTGTTAAATTGTTGAATCTATGGTGCAGTGTTGTTAAATTGTTGAATCTATGGTGCAGTGTTGTTAAACAGTGGAATCTACGGTGCAGTGTTGTTAAATTGTTGAATCTATGGTGCAGTGTTGTTAAACAGTAGAATCTACGGTGCAGTGTTGTTAAACAGTGGAATCTACGGTGAAGTGTTGTTAAAATGCTGATTCTACGGTGCAGTGTTGTTAAACTGTTGGTAATGTATTGTTAAATTTCGTTGTGCATAGTTAGGAAGTTCCTAGAGCAGCTTCGTTAAATTCCTGGTGCAGAGTGGCTATAATTCTAGTCTTGTTAAATTGTTAGAAGAGCGTGGTGAGATTTTTAGTGCAGTGTAGAAAAAAATTCTACTTTTGTTAAAATCCTAGAACAATGTTGCTAAATTACAAGTGCAGTTTGCTAAATTATTTGTCCAGTTCTGCCAAATTTCTAGTGCAGTGTTGCTAACTTTCTAGTCCAGAGTTGCTAAATTCCTAGTACAGTGTTGCCAAATTCCTAGCGTAGTGCTGCTATCTTTCTAGTGCAATGTTGTTAACTTTCTAGTCCAGTGTTGCTAAATTCCTAGTGCAGTGTTGCTAAATTCCTAGTGCAGTGTTGCTAAATTCCTAGCGCAGTGTTGCTAACTTTCTAGTGCACCAGAATAAATAGTTTGATCATAAACACTACACAAACATCAGAAATTTAAACAAATTATAAGATAAAGAGTTTATTTAAGAAGGGACACTTTGAGCTGAGCTCTCCTCCTGTAGCTACAAATGGGTAAAATTGGAAATAGATAATTGAAAATAGGTAATTGAAAAAAAGGTAACTGAACATAGGTAACTGGGAATATGTAACTGGAAACAGGTAATATAAAATAGTAATTTGAAATAGGTAACAGGAAAAAGGTAACTGAAAATAGTTAATTTGAAATAGGTAGCTGGAAACAGGTAATTGAAAATAGTTAATCTGAAATAGGTAACTGGAAACAGGTAATTGAAATTAGTTTATCTGAAATAGGTAACTGGAAACAGGTAACTGAAAGTAGTTAATTTGAAATAGGTAACTAGAAACAGGTAACTGGAAATTGGCAATTAAAAATAATCGGTATGACGCACCTGGTGTTCTCTTCAATGCCCAAGTGAAGGTGAGTGAGGTTGGGTAGGCGACCACACTGCAGGCGATGGTTACAGACCCACCTCGAGGTCCCACATATTCATCGCGTTGATTCTCCTCACAGACCGGGGAGACTGTGGGGGAGAGAGAGAGAGAGAAGTGAGAGAGGGTGAAAGTTGAGGGAGAGAGGTGTAAGGGTTGGGGGTGAGAAGGATGGAAGTGAGAGTGGGAGGTGAGGGGAAAATGAGAATGAGGGAGGTGAGAAATAAAGGAAGGTGCAAGAGGCGTGGTGAAGGCGGTAAGTAGAGCGAGTGAGAGTGAGTGAGTGAGAGAGAGAGAGAGAGAGAGAGAGAGAGAGAGAGAGAGAGAGGAGAGAGAGGGGAGAGAGAGAGAGAGAGAGAGAGAGAGAGAGAGAAGTAGAGAACAGAGCAAGACGTCTCATCTCTCGCCTGGACCCATCCTGGATAGATCTGTCATTTCAGCAGAGCCTTCAACACAGGAGGGATGTGGGTGGCCTTACTGTTATGTACAAGGCCAATATTGTCAAAGTACCACACTTGGCTCCACTTCGAGGACAGCGTGAAACAAGCTTTTATGCCACAAGACGGGCAGAAATCAGCAACTTCACTCTGGCTGTACCCTTCTCCAGAACATCACTCCATCTGAGATCATATATACCCAGGATGACTCGAGTATGGAACACATTCGTACAGCATAATGATGTCAACGAGATAAAGTCAGTTGATCACATGAAAATGCTAGCCCACAGATGGCTCCAACTTCATCCTGTTCCCTACTTGTATGTCTCATAACAATAAAAATGCTTTCAAATGAGCTGATGTAGGTAACAGCTCTTAGCTTGCCAATAAAGTTAGGAATCCTTAACCTGTAATATAGCTGTCAATAAAGCTAGGGATTAGTAACCTTGTCAAATCCTGTGTAAAAAAAAAAGAGAGAGAGAGAGAGAGAGAGAGAGAGAAAGAGAGAGAGTAGGGTAGGCTCCAAAACCTGGTGGTCCCTGGTCAAGGACAGACAAGGTTATCTGCCTGATGAACTTATTCCACCTCTAAATCGACAGGATGGGACCACCTCTACTAGTAGTCAAGAGAAAGCGGACCTCTTTGCTGAACACTTTGCTACCAAAATGCAAGTTCCTGATCCAGCAAGGGACCCTCCTTGGCTAGCTGCAAGAACTGTGTCAAAACTGTCAGGGGTGACAATAAGGCAGGAGGAGGTGCATTTCCTTCTTAAATCACTTGACCAAGAAAAGGCTGTGGGCCCAGACAAGTTGAGCCCAAGATTGTTGAGAAGATGTGCAGACCAGCTAGCAGCACCTCTAACTCGCATCTTTCAACACTGCCTAGTACAGTGCAAATGGCCCTCTCCATGGAAAGAGGCAAATGTAGTCCCTGTTCACAAAAAGAAGAGCAGAGCAGAAATCAGCAACTACAGACCAGTGTCACTCCTGTCAATCACTGGTAAGATCCTTGAGACAATAATTCAAGACAAATGACAGATTTTTTTGACTACCACTCACTACTTTGTGATCGTCAATATGGCTTCAGGAAAGGTTACTCTGCTGCTGATCTGTTGTTAAACCTCTCCACTAAGTGGCACCAGTCACTGGATGAATCCAAAAGTCAGCTGTGTGGTAGCACTGGACATTGCTGGCGCTTTCGACCGGGTTGTGGCACCAGGGCCTCTTAGCAAAACTTCAAGCACTGGGAATTGCAGGCTCTACGCTATGTCTCCTCAGTGATTACCTTCATGGTAGATCTCTAAGTGTAGTCCTCAATGGGAACGGAATCAGCAAGACATCCTATTGGGGCAAGCGTTCCACAAGGAAGTGTGCTGGGTCCACTGTTTGGAATGTCTACTTCAACGACCTTCTTCATCTCATCCCAGAATCACATGCATATGCAGACGACTGTACACTGACATTCACTTATCCAAGAGAAGAAATGCCAGCTGCTCTAAGCTACATCAATCACCAGCTGAGAGCTATATCAGCTTGGGGAAATAGATGGCAAGTAACATTTGCACCTGAGAAAACGCAAATGATGATCGTCTCTAGGCACCATGATGGTAATGCTGGTGCAGTAGTAAGGATGAATGGGAGGATGTTGGCACCTGGAGAAGAAGTTGATATCCTTGGGGTGAAATTTGACTCCAAACTAACCATGAAGAACCATGTTGTAAATCTTGCAAAACAAGGCAGCCAGGAAGCTTACAGCACTTCGCCGTATCTCGCATCTGCTTGACAGTAGGGGTTGCAAGATCCTGTACGAGGCACAAGTACGCTCACACCTTGAGTATGCTCCACTTTCTTGGTTTGCCTGTCCCCCCTCTCATCTGCGACTGCTTGACAGAGTAGAGAACAGAGCAAGACGTCTCATCTCTCGCCTGGACCCATCCTGGATGGATCTGTCATTTCAGCAGAGCCTTCAACATAGGAGGGATGTGGGTGGCCTTACTGTTATGTACAAGGCCAATATTGTCAAAATACCACACTTGGATCCACTTCGAGGACAGCGCGAAACAAGCTTTTATGCCACAAGCGGCAGAAAGCAGCAACTTCACTCTGGCTGTACCCTTCTCCAGAACATCACTCCATCTGAGATCATACATACCCAGGATGACTCGAGTATGGAACACATTTGTACAGCATAATGAGTCAACGAGATAACGTCAGTTGATCAAATGAAAATGCTGGCCCACAGATGGCTCCAACTTCATCCTGTTCCCTACTTGTATGTCTCATAACAATAAAAATGCTTTCAATGAGCTGATGTAGGTAACAGCTCTTAGCTTGCCAATAAAGTTAGGAATCCTTAACCTGTAAATATCTTGTCAATAAAGCTAGGGATCCTTAACCTTGTCAAACCATGTGTAAAAAAAAAAAAAAAAAAAAAAAAAAAAAAAAAAAAAAAAAAAAAAAAAAAAAAAGAGAGAGAGAGAAAAGAGAGAGAGGAGAGAGGAGAGAGAGACGAGAGAGTGGAGAGAGAGGAGAGGAGAGAGAGAGAGAGAGAGGAGAGAGAGAGAGAGGGGGGAGAGGAGGGGAGGAGCATAAAGTAGAAGTGGCGGCGATAAGATGATAGTGAAGATAGTGACAATGCTGTGTAAGGGTGAAGAAGAGGAAGATAAAGTAAGGAGAAAAGAAGCAAGGAGAATTGGAGATAAGAAGAAGGGAGATGAAGAAATGGAGAAAGAAAACGAGGAGGAGGAGAGCTAAATTTAAAAAAAAAATGGGGAAACAAGAGAAGGAACAGGGGGAGAAAGAGAAGAATGAATGATTAGGAAGCTAGGTACAAAAATAGAAGAGGAGGAGGAGGAGGAAGAGGAGGAGACAGAAGAGGAGAAGGGGGAAGAGGAGGAAGAAGAGGAGGTGCGTGTTTACAGTTTCAGACTAACTGATGTAAACAGGGAGCCTGAGAATATCAGTGATGGGCGTTTGCGTAGAGGGGAAATATGCGTAGAGGGGAGAGGCAAGAGGAAGGGGAGAAAGAGAGAGAGAGAGAGAGAGAGAGAGAGAAAGAGGAGAGAGAGAGAGAGAGAGCCAGAGAGTATGATATTGATTTAACAAACAGATACGGATGATGGTTGAAGGGATAGGGAAGGGATAGAAAGAAGAGGGATGGTATGGCAAGGGAAGAGAGAGGAAACGAAAATAGGATAAGAAAAGGTAGAGAAGGGGAAGAAAGAAGATAGTGAAGGGGAAAACAGAAGCAATGGCTCAATACACACTAGAAAAGAGGGGGAAATTTGGAATACAGTAGTCGAAAAAAAATTTAGAAGGGAAATCGTATGTTCATATATAAGAAAGTGGAAGAGGAAAATGCTAATGAATAAAGAAAAAGTATAACAAGAGTAATAAATAATAAATGCAAACATAACGAGGCAGGAAGACTGAAGCTGAGACAAATAAGAACAAATGAACTGAACAAAATAGTTATACTACTACTACCACTACTACTAGTACTACTATTACTACTACTACTATTGCTACTACTGTTATTATTACTGGTACTACTAATATAAATAATACTATTAATAATAATACAATAAAATTAGATTTTAAAATAAGTAATATATATATATATATATATATATATATATATATATATATATATATATATATATATATATATATATATATATATGTATGTATGTATATATGTCGTGCCGAATAGGCAAAACTTGCGATCTTGGCTTAAATAGCAACGCTCATCTTGCCATATAGGACAAGTGAAAATTTGTGTATGCAATAATTTCGCCAAAATCATTCTGAACCTAACGAAAAAAAGTATATTTCACTGTGTTTGTTTAGTATTAAATTACTGCAAACAAATCTAAAATATATTTAGTTGGGTTAGGCTAAAATAAATTGTTCTTGTTAAAATAAGGTTAGGTAAGTTTTCTAAGTTCCTTTTGGTGCAAAATTAAAAATTTTTGCATTAACATTAATGAAAAAAATATGTCTTCAAACATATAAGAGAAAATTTTAGAAAGGACTTAATTTTAAATGAGTTCTTGCTAATTGACCACTTTTACATATTCGGCACGACATATATATATATATATATATATATATATATATATATATATATATATATATATATATATATATATATATATATTATAGGTAGTAGGTTGGTAGACAGCAACCGCCCAGGGAGGTACTACCGTCCTGCCAAGTGAGTGTAAAACGAAAGCCTGTAATTCTTTTACATGATGGTAGGATTGCTGGTGTCCTTTTTTCTGTCTCATAAACATGCATGATTTCAGGTATGTCTTGCTACTTCTATTTACACTTAGGTCACACTACACATACATGTACAAGCATATATATATATACACACCCCTCTGGGTTTTCTGCTATTTTCTTTCCAGTTCTTGTTCTTGTTTATTTCCTCTTACCTCCATGGGAAAGTGGAACAGAATTCTTCCTCCGTAAGCCATGCGTGTTGTAAGAGGCGACTAAAATGCCGGGAGCAAGAGGCTAGTAACCCCTTCTCCTGTATATATTACTAAATGTGAAAGGAGAAACTTTCGTTTTTTCTTTGGGTCACCCCGCCTCGGTGGGATACGGCCGGTGTGTTGAAAGAAAGAAAGAATATATATATATATATATATA